TTTGAATATGTCAATAAGTCAAATTACACGGCACATAATCTTTTGTCCAAAAAGGTTAAATTTCCAATACAGTTCCTACCCAGCACACAAGAATTGTGTGCCTTCACACGGCTGCCATGTGTATTGATCCTTGATCAATGTCCAAACTTTCTTACCATTTTACCAGTTGAGCCACTCGTGCAAATTATTCTTTTCATGTGAGACATGAGATATATTCGTTCAAAAATAGCACGCTGTTTGGACTATGTTGGTGCAGGAATTTGACGACTTGGTCTACATTCAAAAGGCTTGACCGTGGCAATTAATGACACATTTATTAGGTTTAATGCTAGCTAATTATTATAACGATTTTATGTGTAATATTATAGTCATTAATGTAATTAAGGAATAGGTTACTCAAACGGCTGTCCGAAATTTATGACGACATAATGACAATTTTGATGTCGTCGTAACGGTCAAAATCGTCGATAACGGGCAAAAGGGGATTAAATACCTCTCTTATAAATAGAACCAAGCTCTATGTAATCAGGGGACCCTTCATTCGAATTACACATAAAATCACACTTTATTTTGCTCTCTTAGCATTTTTCTTGTTGTTTTGTCATCTTCTTTATTGTTCTTGTACGAGACCCAATCTATATACAATTTCCTCTTTAATTAGTTTTAGGTTATCAAAATTTTGCTAAAACAGACTAGCACATCTAACTAAAGTGATTGACATGATTGGTGAGAGAAGAATGATTGATGGGAGAAGAAAGCTCAAATGATTTTTTTTTGCAAATCTTTCTAATATAGTACTACCTCCGTCCCTTTTATATTGGGACGGAAGATGGTGGCACGAGTTTTAAGAAAAGTGGGTTTGTGTGTTTGATATTAATTGATAAAGTAAGAATAAAGTAAGAATGATTTTGAGCCACACAAATTTTACCAAATATGGTATGAGACAATTTAAGTGGGACTTCCCGAAAAGGTAAAGCGGGACAATATAAATGGGACGGAGGGAGTATCTATTATGGGTATGTTTGGCACAACTAGCTGAAAAGATACTGTTGTGAGCTTTTTAGTAACTGTTAGCTTTTAGTGACTGAAAAGATCTTATAAGGAGAAGGAGGTAGCTGTTTGGTAAAAAGCTGACTGTTTGATTTAGTTCTGTTTGGTATAAAAGCTGTTAGGATGAATTAATACTAAAAAGTCACAGACTTTTCTCAGATGCTACCCCTTGTAGCATCTCAAAAAAGATCTTTTAATTTTTGAAAAGCTCTTAAAAAATGTCATGCCAAACATACAACTAGAAGCTTTTAGAGACTTTTTAAATAGTACAAAAGCTAGAAGACAGAGACTTATGTCTGCCAAACATGCTCTATATGTTAAAGCTAACATTCTTGAACCGATACTTGAACCTGTGACCTCCTCCTTGGAAGTGTCACAATGATGCATCTTTTCCGAAATAAGATCGTGGGCTATGAAGCTAACGACAACATAAAATTTCAATGCTCCCCCGACCTATGGAAAAAATGATTTTTTTTAAATATTACTAAAATAAAACTTATTTATATAAATATGATTAATAGTTACTACAATGAAGTGACATGGTAACTTAGGTTTAAATATTGAACATTAATTATAATGATTTCATTACTAGTGTAGTTATTTAGTCACATTTTGTAAATAATCTTTACTTTTTTAAAATAATCATTGTTTCAAAAAAAATTAGTAGCGACCAAAAAAAGAACTTTCGTAATTCAAATAATGTGGGCAACTATTAAAGATTAGATTTGGATGATCATTTCAGCTTCAAATGAGTTTAAATCTGATCGAAGCTCCCAACAGTGGCCGAGCTTTAAATACACTTTAAGGGTCAAACTTTATCTGTGTACAGAATGAAAATTAAAGTTTAAACAGCTAGTTTGAGACAAAATTATAGTTAATAGTTCATATATATAGACCAGATAAACATTATTTCAAATGATATGTTTTCTATCCAAAACACGACTTATTTAATCCTTTTAAAAAAACAAAAGAGCATAAATAATCCCTAAATAGGAGTGTATGAATCCTACTTGGGAAGAAAAGAATATAATGGCACTCCTATTTATAAATGTTTTCTATGTTTTATTTTTGTTTAGATAATTTTCTTGATTGAAATAGGGGTCACCTGTTTAATAGAGTTAAATGACTGAATTTCTAATGGAAGAATGGTTCTAGCTATGTCATTCTTGTACTATATTCAAATATTTGGTATAACCAAAAATAATTTTTAAAAGTACGAAATATTATTGATATTCTATACATATTATTGATATATATATATAGAATTTTAAAAAGTACGAAATATTATTGATATATAGAGCTAGCTTTGGTTTCGGATGATGATAATAGTTTTGGGGCTGTTTAGAAGCTTTGTGTGTGGATTAGTGTTACTTTTTTATTATCGGTAAACTTCTTAAAAGGGGTTGAAGTTGAATTGAAGAAGGAACGCACAGTGGTTTTGGGTCGTCATGAAAAGTTGCCAAACTTCTATTTCTAATGCTGAAAAGTTGTATCTCAATCTGATGGAGGGCCATATGAACCATATGGTTTAGAGGTGTATGTATATGCGGGAAACAACCGACGGAACAAGTGGTTGGTCCCTAATATAATGGCTGAGTGAAGGGAGAGTACGTACAGAAAACATTGCATGATTTCTGATTCCAACTACTTGCATTAGAAGGATATATATATATCGGGTTGATTATATTACTTTGCGGCAAGGAAGAGCTGGGTATGACTAGCACTAAGAGTGGATGGAGGTAAATTCGATCAGAAGCGAAGACGTCTAGATGGAAATCGAACTGTTTGTTCCAAAAAATTGAATGAGTCAATTTGCCTAGCATGCTGATGATTGGGAACAATGGCTAGCTGTCAGAATTGGACTTGCAGATCGTGAATGATTTTGGTTTTTAATTTTTCATTCATATTTTGTTTTGATTTACTTGGTTTTTTTTCCACAGAAAATTGGGGCATGTGGATCGAGGTAATTTTATTATGGTAAGTGTTATTCAGATCACATGAATTTAGACTCTAGAAGTCCATTATTTCTTCCAAACTCTCACATAGTTAGCAAAATGGCCCATGGTTGTTAGATTGACTATTTCTAAGTCTGATCAATGTCCGAAAGGATATTCAAATTATAAGTCAAATGATTTTTGGAAGATAACTGCACCCTTTATATACATATAAAAAACAATTATCTTCCAAAAATCGTTTTGGCTGCTTTCCCGATTGAATTTTTTGGTGAAACTTGGTATGGATGTACTATACTTGATGACGAACATGCTCAAAAAATTTTATCGAAAAATTCCACCGGGAAGGCCCTCAAAACATGAAGGCCGCACGGCGGCTCCGGTAAGGTATACCTTACCGGAAAGTTTTCCCACGACCCGATAACGAAGAGACCAAAATCGGCCAAGACATATATAAAGGTCTCATATATTATGGGCCCTAATTTTTCCCAATTTTGTGGGCCTGAGGCAATGCCCTCTTGGCCTCATATATAGGTTCGGCCCTGCGTAACCTATAAAATGAGCATTGGACATGAAAATCACAAGTATTTTTAGTTGAGTATCAATACATTTTCATTGAGCACAAACATTCACTATTGAGTATTATAAACATGAAAATGAGTATCATTCTATGTGTTCCCGTATCTAAATCAACTTTTACGTGAATCTAATGTAGTATGATACTTTTGAAATATGCATCATATAACATTTTAAAATGAGCACACAATTGGTATCAAATGAGCACACATAACTTACAAAATGAGTATTAAAAAATTCAAAACTCATTTGAAAGTTTTAATGCACTCAATTATTCATCTTATATGCTCATTTTTCTTTATAAAATGATAAGGAATTATATTTGGACCAGAATCTCAATTCCAATTCAACTAGCACCGCCTTTAAAAAATGGCAGCGACGTATTAATTAATTACAGTACTCCGTATTTCAAATTCACAGTTCACCGGATGCAGCGATGTAGATTGCTAGGCTTATTTTTGAGGAAACTTGTACATCGCAATCTCTAACACTTGAATAATCCTTAAGCCTGAGGAGCACGGGGATCCGGTTGGTCTTCTCTGCATAGCTTCCAAGTTCCACCCATGGCCGTCCGGAAAGAAAGCGCTCTCCACCCCAACAACCATGTCCGCAGTTACTAGATTCGAGCCTGAAATTGAATTTAATTTCAAAAATACCCGGTTGTACGATGCTCACCGTACAGTCGGTTGTATGGTATAATTTGGCCATATACATGAGTGTACAAAAAGAAATTTCTTATTAAAAAATATCCGTGACAGACAAAATGGAACATATACATGAGTGTACAAAATAAATTCTTATTAGAATTCATCAATGTCTCACTTGTAATCGTAGATAGGCATGGATCGGTTCCGGGCCGGGCTCCGGGCCGTTCCAAACCAGGCTTTTATTTTTTGGGGGCGTACCCGGAACTGGCCCAATTTGCAACCGGGTCCGGGCCGGTCCGGGCCGATTCATTTTTTTTTGCTATTCTAATTAACCCCCGACCCCCCCCCCTCACCCCCAACCCCCCCCCCCCCCCCCAAAACACCTAGCCCAACCTGGGAAAAACAAAAAAAAAATTGAAAAAAACGAAAAATAAATAAATAGGCCCGAACCGGGCCCGGCCCGGCCGGTTCCAAAGGAAGGGTAGGCCCGGAACCGGACCGTTCTAACACACCAGGCCGGTCCTAGGCCCGGTTCCCAGGCCGGTTCACCGGGCCGGTCCGGTTCCGCACAATGGCGGGTCGGGCCGGTTCCTGGGTCGGGCCGACCGGAACCGGTCCATGCCTAGTCGTAGAGCATGATCTCAATTTAAATGTTGTAGCTATTAGCTGATAGGTAATCCCTTCGTTTCTTTCCTGTCTCAGCATTGGATGGAGAAACCCGGAGTTCCCCCTGAAGAAGGGGGGGAACTTCAGTTTCTTTTCACGTATTTGCAGGTGTTGAAATAGAGGAAGGACCTTGAATTACTTAACTAATACACGTCAAAGGCAATTCCTTTCAGTCACATATCAGATGGTTTGGTTATCACCTCATATAAAAAGTGAAGCGTTCATATATATAAAAATAAATAGAACAGTAACTAGCCAGAATGTCTTTTATTTGTAGGAATGGGACCAAGTACATAGAACAGACAACCCTTCTTCCTTCATTATGATTATGCATGGCCAGTCCTTAAACCCCAGATCCAATCTCAACTTAAATTACCCAGGTGGCCAGTTCATCTGTCTTCCTCCAAGGAGATGAAGATGAATATGGTAAACAGACTGGCCTGCAGAAAAAGCGCACACAATATTCAGATCAAAACTCAGAAGGACAAGGTTCAAACTCCAATTATGACAAAGTTATGGAATGAAAAGATTAAATAAAATAAAAATAAAAACTAACATCCATCTCTTCCGTCATTGATCACGAGCCTGAACCCATTTTCATCAAGACCTTCTTGTTTAGCTACAAGCTTTGCAGTGTAAAGAAGGCGACCAAGAATATCACAATGTCTCTCCTCTGCCTTTTGAATTTTATTTTAAAAAGTACTAATATAGTCAGGATAATGTAGAGAAGAAATTAAAAGACAAAAAAACAGCAGACCGAATCATGAAGTTTGTATTCTCAGCCGGAATGAAAAATGAATCACAAAGGTGACAAAAGATTATCTTGTGCACAAGCTGCGTATGACATAATTCCATTGTTTATATGGTGACCAACTCCTTTATTGTGAACATGAACATATTCTTATTATCTAATGACCTCAGAGTGCCCACTCCCCAGTACATGGATTGCAGTGATATAGTTTCTCTCTTCAGAGAAAAAGAACCCTATGAATGCTTTGCATGATTAAGAATAAGAAGATAGAGAGTTCAAATCTAAACGCAGAAACATCACTAATTATTAATGCTCAACGAAATAAATTAGGAATACCTTAGAGAGCCCAGTTAACCCATCCTTCACCTTTGGAATAAGAAGAATGTGCACTGGAGCTTGGGGGTTTATGTCCCTGAAAGCCAAAACCTGTCCAAACAAAAACACAAAGTCAAAATAGAGCCACAGGTAAAAGGAAATAACCCCGTCCCAAAAAAAAGCCATGTCACAACATCTTTTCCCCCAAAAAATACGATTACAAATAAACTTTAAACTTAACCTAAAAATCGTTTAGATCCACGCAACAAGCTGCTTTAACCTTGTTGAACAAAAGTTTAGGGGCATATAAGTAATTATTACGTCTGTAGCACATTCATCATGGACTGAGTATGGGGAAGCCTTTCACTCCCTCCATCAGCAGCGACCCCGACACCTTAATCACGTCCCCAGCCGTTGAAGCCACGATTTAGGTGCCGAGGTTGATGCTGATGGAGACAATAGAAGCTTTTCCTATACGTACTTCAGTCATTGATAGCCACAACACATTATCTGGAGGACCCTTTAAAAAATGGAATTACATTATCCTTTAATGTATAGGTTTTGTTGAATCCATTGATGAAAACACATATCAACAAGAATAATAATCTAAACCCACTGCCCGCTCACAATAACGCACAACAGTAAAAAAGGATAAACGAATCTGAATGACTCAAATCATATTTACATTTTTATGATGTAACATCAAATAGCAAAATTAGTTATGTTTGGTTATCCTTCTTAGAACAATAGAGAATATTAGTATATTACATGTCAGACTGGATTACAAACACCCTTAGTATAGTAATATACTAATATAGTTATTATTGTTTTATATTTCATAATGAGGCTGGGTTTAAGCCCATTATCTCTCCATATACGCATTATAATGTACCCCACAATTTATCAACTTCCCAAGTTCAAATTGAAATCAATAAAAGCAGTTTATAATTAAGTTCTCAAGTTCAACACCTTTCATTGCAATACATCAGGTGCCATAGGCCATAGCACATTTTTTTATATGAAAATATTGCTAAGAGCATTGGTGAAAAAAACCACTAGTCCTAGAGTGCACTACTAGCACTAGTATTTTTTTTTCGTGTAGGCAAAATTTTATTCATCTCTTTTCATGACATTGTGCTTGTAAAATTCATATTAGGTTAACAACGAAAGTGCTAATTCGTGTATTCAGTTAAGTCGAGTGGGTGTTTGGATGTGCTTATTAAAACGGCTTCTACTCCCTCAGGAGCATGCAGGAGTTTTTGAATGAAACTTAATTAAGCAGCACTTTCAGCTGCTCTAATTGCTCCCCAAAATCAGTTTTTGAGGAATTAGGGTAAATCAACTTCAGCTTCTTGAACATTAAGGTTCAAAATAACATTTGTTGATTTAGAGAGGCGGGGTTAAGGGATTTAGATCATCCCCAAAAGTACTCCCCTAAGAAATACCTGACCATCCTCGTAAACAATGTCGGCTGGTATTTCTTTGTTTATAATCTTGTCGAATCTGTGAGTCAAACATCAACTAAACCTTCAAAACAAAAACAAAAAAGATAGCAAAAAAATCGAAATAAAAACAGGAAATCAGAGAAGGGGAACAAATCGCAGCAGCGTGGGTACATGGTGGGAGAATCTGAGGGAACGGCGAGAAGGGCAGCTTCTTTTTCAGAAGCCATGGGAGTTATGTGGCTGCTTAGCACTTGAAGTCTGCTGCTACTCCTCGGACTGTCTATGCCCATTATATACATCTCATCCTCGAATTCCTTGGCCTGTTTAATGTAGGAATATGTATGAAATAAATATACTACTAATGGTTTATGGAAAACTAATCATCCTTCCTTCTCATAAAAATTCTTTTCAATTTAACTTGAGATAATTGTAGTTGAGAAAGAAAATGTAAATAAATGTTAGTCATACAAATTTTCAAAAATGAAAATTAAAAAAAAATTGGAACATTCCGAAATTATAATTGAGAAGAATTTAGGGGGTGTTTGGAACTGATTCTGCTTCTGCCTCTTTTTTAAAGCAGAAGTAGAATCAGAATCAGTTTTCAGAAGTTGGTCACCCCTAGCTTCTAAAAAAATGATTCTGGGAGTAAATTAGAGCACCAGAAGTGCTTCTGGAATTTCACCCAAACACTCCAGCTTCTGCTTCTGCTCTCTGAAGGAGCAGAATCAGTTTTGAGAATCAGATCCAAACACCCCCTTAATGGGATGGAATAAGTGTTACTAGTATTGGTTGTGTATGTCTTTCCTCATTTGAGAATGTGTTATTTATAGGCTGAATATAAGACTTGAATCATACGCTCAAAATGCTAAGTAATGAGTACATGAAATGTATCTAACTTGGAACCCCTTGAAGTATGCCGATGAGGTCATCCATGATGTCAGATTGATGTAGTATGATGTCACTAATGAACTCAACACTTGTGAATCAAAATGCTAACCAATGAATACGTGAAATGTGTCTCTTGACTCAAACTCAAGACCTTCGACAGCGGAAGGAATTCGAATGTAGGAAGCGGGTACTGATTAACTGTTTTTTTTTTAGAATTGATAAACTTAAACCAACTTTTTCTATTTTCTACACAAATTTTCAGTCATATAATAAATATATTTTCATATTCTTAGGCTCCAAGTGTGCCTTATTTGTGAGCTCAGCTTTTTCCAGTCAGCTCCAAGTGCAGATAGAAATCTCACATTCAGTTCCATGTTTGATTTGTGCACATTAATCTTCCTCATCTCATTGATCAACTGCAAAAATCTGAGATAGGTATCTTCAAGTGATTCTCCAAGCTTGGCTTTGAAGGAGTCATAAGCTGTGAAGGTGCTAGCTTTCTTTGCTTTAACACCAATCTCTGTTCCTTGCATAATCTTGAAGATTTCATCCCACATCTCTTTTGCTGTTGACATGCTGTCAATCTGCATGTAGATGTCGTTCGGGATGGCCTGTAACAGATAAGTCTTAGCAAGCAAATCAGCTCGGATTCTAGCTCGCTCCTCGTCATCGTACTCATCGACTGTCTTGGGTCTCCATTCAATTTCAACAGGTGGATTGTTTCCATTGTCTCTCTCAACAGCAATAAGCAGCTGGGCAGGGCCATTAGTGATGGAGTCAAGAAGTCCTGATGATTGGTCCTTACTCTCAAGAAAGTTAAGGAATATGTTCTTCCAAACGTTGTACTCTCCTCTTCGTAGAATCGGGGGTCTTGTGTCATTTCCAATTGATAGAGCATCCATTTTAAATGATCGGGCTGATCAGTTGATTGATTAAGTTCTGTTTTGTTGTTTGGTGCTTCAGGCAGTAGGTTCTTGTCCTGAAATCGCGCAAGTGTTGTAATGGGGCAACTTTAGGATCGCTCAATTTCAAATAGGGCAACTTCAAATGGGGAAACTTTTGAAATGGGGCAATTTTTTGAAATAGGGCAAGTGTTGAAATAGGGCAACTTCAAGGATCGCTCAAGTTGAAATGGGGCAACTCCAAATGGGGCAACTTTCAAAGATCGCTCAACTTTGAAATGGGGCAACTCCAAATGGGGCAACTTCCAAAGATCACTCAACTTTGAAATGGGGCAAGTGTGAAATCGCGCAGGTGTGAAATCGGGCAACTCCAAAAGATCGCTCAAGTCCTGAAATAGCTCAAGATCAAAATCGCGCAGAGTGTTTCGCGCGAAGTTGAAATCGCTCAACTCCAAAATCGGGCAACCTAAGTTGCGCGAAAGTGGAAATCGGGCAGAAGTGCTTTTGCGCGAAACCTGTTCTTCTTCCCTGTGAGTTGCGCAAAAATGCAGAATCGCTCAAGTTCAGCTTAACCTGTACGCCAAATTTCTGGGTGCGATTTTTCACAGAACAAATCCTTTCAAGCCTAGAAACACTTTCCTGTAAACATTTTCCTGCAAAAATGAAAACAAAAACAGAAGATCGCTCAAGTGCAGAACTTCAACGATGAAGAATCGCGCAAGAGCCTTTTTCAGCCTTCAATCGATCGATCAGCTCCAGCTCTGATACCAGATGTTAGGTCCCTATTTCTAATCTAGAATATATGAGTATGGAAGATAGATCTATGATTTGAAGCTTTCCATTGATGATGAAGGTTTTACAGAATGATAAGAAACTTAGCGTAAAAACCTTACACGCAAATAGGCACTGCGGCACAGAGAATGTATTGAAAAGCTTAACCTAGCCATTTCTAAGGGGTCTATTTATAGCCTCCTTAGAATGGTAGGTTTTACAATGATATGGGCTCTCTTTTTTAGGAGGCTCATTCCTAATTTAGCCTAATAGCCTTTTCCATTTAAGGCCAATTCTATGATAAATAATTATTACAAAAAGCTAAGTAACATTGATCACAATATAAAGAAAATATCTCTAACAACTACCATGTGGTAGGTGGTAGTGTTGATGTGGAGGACCATGAGTGGCTAGCCTCTCAAGAACCAAATCTGGTGCATTTAATGCATTTCTCGCCAATATCTTGTCTTTCCAAATGTGAGGGACAATCATATCCGAAGGCCCCCTAAATTTGGGATGTTTTTACTTGGACTGTAATCTGCTGGTCTGATCTGGTCTGAACTGGTTTGGTCTGGTCTGGTCTGGTATATCTGGTCTCTTTGTATTTTTATAACTATCCAAGTCTCGTCTGGTCTGGTCTGGACTGGGACAAATTACAGTCCAAGTAAAAACATCCTTGGATCCAAACGAACACAAGACCATAGATGCCTCTCAGGCTCCGTCGAGCTTCTCCACTAAGCCCCCTAATAACCGTCTAGCCTGAACTGGGCCAAGGTAGAGGCGACGAGCGTCAAATACCCCAGACGAGCGTCGGACATACTTCGTGGGTTGTTACTCTTGGCCCCCTTCTCCTTTAGAAGGTATTAGGCCGATTATGTGGGCTAATTACCCCAACAGATATGTAGAATATAAAATCACAATAAAGATAAATTTGCCAATACATTCAACCCAAATCCAACCCAACCCAGTCTAGCTAGTGCCCATGACGGTTTGGAGTGGTTTCTATCCCTAATGATAGACCACATGCCATTTGTTTTTGAACTATCATCAGTTGATGAGTAGTAAATGGTGGGTGTGATGCTAAAATTGAAAAGAACTGACTTGTATATATAAGAAATAGTTTCAAAGTGAACAATAGATTCGTCAAAACCACTGCATCACGCTTAAACACCAGATGGACAATTAATTGCCATTAGGGTGGGTGATTAGTCAAATCAAATTAGGCAACTAGGCATTCCCTTCTTATGCTTGATTGTGTTAAGGACATTCAATGTAAATGGAATGGATCTCCAAATGCAAATAAAAAGATATGGTGCATACCCCCTTTTAAATTTAATCCTTAACCAAAATTCTAGATTTATTTGTTGTTGTGAATAAAAGAATGCCTCAAATATTTCATGGCCAATAAATGTAATGTACTACTTTTGAGTCACTTGACTTTCCTGATTTCCCAAACCTAAGCAAAAATCCAATGTTTATATGTTAAAGACTTTCCACAAACATAAATCAATAATAAATGCATCGTACTCTATTACTCTTCCCCTTGCAAGATCCCAACCACAACCCAACCCCTATATTAAAAATGAGCTTTTTGGTGGGAAAATGCCAGAAATTCCACTTCATTGTGTATATAGTAGGATTTTGGAGTATGTTATTGTTATCCATTCATTAGAAAAATAACATACCCCGTAATAGTTAGATTTGTCGTCAACCATTGCCCAAACTGAGAAACTTAATCGACAGTACAACAAGGATGTGGTATGTTAATATATCCATGGATGAGAACTTTCTCTTATTTGAGAGATATAATCGGAGCTGGCAAAAAAAACTTAATTTGGAGAAAGCAATAGGTCCGATAAAAGGAACCATTCGGACAAGAGATGATACCACACGATAACATATAACTGTGAGAATAATGAGAAAGCCGTACTCTAATAGGAGCCCTGGCAGATATATTTATAGTAAAATAGCAGTTGCCAAAATACAAAATTATTCCTAATTAATATAATCTATTACACCCCCTCAAGCTGTGCGGGAGATACAACGCGCAGGTTGTCTTTCAAAAAATGAAACTGGTGACTAGACAAACTTTTAGTAAATATATCCGCCAGCTGGAGATGCGTAGGAACATGCTTAACAATTAAATCACCATGAGCAACTCTTTCCCGAACAAAATGATAGTCAATCTGAATATGCTTACTCCGAGCATGTTGTACCGGAATAACTTGCCTAAATGCCTTTATGATTTTAAGTCACATTACCCCAAGAAGCCTTTTATTTGAAGAATTCTAGTTTTTTTTTTGTTTCACATTCCATATACTTCTATGATGATTGATGGAAATACTTTACTCTGATATAAATAGTATTAATTATGACACTCATTGAATTCATTTTTGGGAAGAGGCAAAAGGTTAGTTCCTTTTGTTTTTAAGAAATAACCGAGATGTTCTAAACGATATCAAAACAATTAAACGTTTTTCTCTTTTTCTCACTTCCAAATAAATGCAAAATGAATCATAATAATCTGAAACGTTAAAGAAGTCATCATCTCTAAGGTATGATAACCTTCTCCACTTTTATTGTCTCATCATCAACACCTTAACCTGTCATAATTACTGGACTTGATTTCAATAATAGGGACAAGCTCAAGTGTTGATGATGAGACAGTACAAGCGAGAAACTTTTCCCGTACTCCAGCCATCGGTGGCCGGACCGTCAAGGATATAATAGAGGTGTAGTCTATAGAACCATTTAGCAAATGAAATGAGAACAAAATATAGAAGAACATATACCAACACCAGCAAATGCATTATATTTTCTTTGTTTGAATTGTACTTGGTTATGATCTTCTAAAACTGATGTAAA